TAAAATAAATAAATGAATAAATATATAAATAAATAAAAAATAGATAAATAAATAAATAAATAAATATATATATATATATATATCTATGTAAATTGATTCTGTAAACCGGCCATCGTTTGCAGCATCCTTCTGGGGCAAACAAACAAAACCAAAAGCACGCATCTTTTGAATCCGGGACTGCTTACTTCTCGTACTTTCTGAGGCACTGGTAGCCCCTACATCCGGGCCCCAGGCTGCAAAGACAGGGGTGTTGTCCCAGCCCCCGCTTTCCTGCGCCTGGCCGGAACCCCGAAGTCCGGAACCGCATCACATTGCGGCCAGCCCCGCAAGGCAAATGGATGTGGAGTTCAGCAGGGCCGAACATGCGCAGCTGACACTTTTCATTTCCACAGGGAAGTGTGGCTCCAGACGCAATCATTTTTCCACCCTTCCGCAGGAAGACATTGGTCGCGCTCTGCGCCCACTTTCTGCACCTGCCAGGGTCGGTGGCAACGTAGCTCGCAACGCTTGAATTTGCTGACTTTTGGTTTGCAAGTGTGGCCGTGTTCCTACTCCTTTTTTGGGCCACTCTGTTTGCACAAACATGCATGCTCACATCAACAATTGCCCGCCCATTTGCCAGCCGTTTGGCCCGGGACACTGATTCGTTTAATGCGCAACGGGCCGAACACGTAGGTAGATACCCCTGCACCAAAAAGGCCTAGGCTATGTAAACGTAGGTCTACCAAAGGGATACCGGGGTGCCTACCCAAGGGCACGTGGCTGAGCCCGTACACTTTACTGTTGCTATTTTTTGCTAAGTCGCCCGTCATCCCAAATGACACTTGCCCTGGAACTCAGAACCCCATCACAGCACTAACTAGGAATGGACACACACACACACGCAACAATCGGGGAAAATAATCGGTGCGCAAAAACCAAACACATCCTACCACCTGGTCCCAAGGGACACCAAACGGAAACCAACCGCTTCTTCACCAATTTTGAGAAACAACCTTTTGCCAGGCGTGCCTGGCAGCTTCCAATGCGGAGAACAACTCCTCACTCGGAATCGGACTCCTGGCAGGCACATGGGCGCTGTTCTCTCCACACATTTCTTGGGACATGGAAAGAATCGTCCTATCGCAAACCAGCTGAGGTCGTGCTATGGCCTCTGGCTGAAAGGGGGTGATCCAGGGCCTCCCAAGTATGTATCCAATCTCGAAACATCCCCCCACCAACCTGCTCCAGATGTCCCCAATTCAGTTATTGTCAGCAGCTTGTTCGTGAGGCGGCTTGCTGCGTTCACGAGCCACCTCGCAAGTGACCTGGGGTAAACATACATTGTGTGCTCACCTGCGCTGCCACATGGAACCCGCTACAGTTACCTGTTAAAAGGCCTCTTTTTGGACCTCCCTGAGCAAAGTTGAGAAGACAAACCTGTCTCCCGCCAAACAACTGCACCCGCAAAGTGGTTGGTTTTTTGTGGCCAACTGTGGAGTGGCTCCCAATGCATGGAAACAACATATTTCTGTGGCACCGCAGCAAAACTCTTGAACTTCCTTCCACCGGGCTTGTGCCTAATCCATGCGAAACCTATCTTTGGGTTGGCCACTCTTACAATAGTCCCGCATTTCACTAAAGAAGTGCCACAACAAAACCATCTGTTGGGTTGTCCACCGGTCCATTAGATGTTGACGCTTGGCTTTCAGATCAAACACCACCAGACACGCAAACGAAACAATCGGTTCCGCAATAAAATGAATGGGCTGCTTTTTGTTTCACTGGCTTATGCCTTTCTTTGTTCCATGTGTGCACAAGCATGTGTATTTATAACTATATACACTAGAGGACAATTGGCCCGAAAGCATTTTTCCACAGGTGCTCATCCAGCCGCGGAGACACCTTTTTACATCGCTGCGGCGAGCGTGTCTGCGCGCGGCGATGCTCTCGAACTGCGCCGCGCGCTTTCTCACGAAAGTGGTCTGTTCCAGGCTGCTGCGCGCAAGTTGCTCTCTGCAAGCTGCTGCACGCTGCTGCACGCAAGTGCTCTGTGCAAGTTGCTCTGCGCAAGTGCTCTGAGCAAGTTGCTCTGCGCAAGTCCTCTGCGCCAGTTGCTCCGCGCAAGCGCTTTGCGCATGTGCTCTGTGCAAGTTGGTCTGTGCAAGTTGCTCTGCGCCAGTTGCTCCGTGCAAGCGCTTTGCGCATGTGCTCTGTGCAAGTTGCTCTGCGCAAGTTGCTCTGAGCAAGTTGCTCTGCGCAAGTGCTCTGCGCCAGTTGCTCCGTGCAAGCGCTTTGCGCATGTGCTCTGTGCAAGTTGGTCTGTGCAAGTTGCTCTGCGCAAGTGCTTTGTGCAATGGCTCTGTGCAAGTTGCTCTGCGCAAGTTGCTCTGCGCAAGTGACTCTGCGCAAGTTGCTCTGCGCAAGTGCTGCCGGAGCTGCGGGGGTGTGCTCCGCGTACTACGTTTGTACTTAAAAGTTGCGATTCTCCAGCCGGAGCTGCGGGCGCGTACTACGTTTGTACTTAAAAGTTGCGATTTTCCAGCCTGAGCTGCGGGAGCACGCTCCGCATATTACGTCTGTACTTAAAAGTTGCGATTTTCCAGCCGGAGCTGCAGGAGCACGCTCCGCGTACTACGTTTGTACTTAAAAGCTGCGATTTTCAAGCCGGAGCTGCCGCGGACCAGGGGGGAATCGAACCCGCAACCGCGGGATTGCGAAAGCAGGCGCGCAAACCACGAGACAACTTCCAAAGGCCGTTTCGCGAGCCAGAAAATTGCACGGCGCTGCAGCGAGAGCGCTTTGACACGCACAATCTCCGCAGAGGGTTCGCCGAGATTAAGACAAATTCGCACGGCGCCACAGCGAGAGCGCTTCGACGCGCACGATCTCCGCAGGGGGTCGCGCGCGGACCGCAGAAATCATAAAAAGTCCTCAGTTTTTGTCCCTCGACCACGCGAATCTCCGCAGAGGGTCGGGCGCGCGCCGCAGAAATCGTAAAAAGTCCTCAGTTTTTGGACCTCGGCCACGCGAACTCCGCACCGCAGAAATCGTAAAAAGTCCTCAGTTTTTCAACCTCGACCACGCGAATCTCCGCAGAAGGTCGCGCGCGCACCGCAGAAATCGTAAAATGTCCACAGTTTTTGAACTTCGACCACGCGAATCTCCGCAGAGGGTCGCGCGCGCACGGCAGAAATCGTAAAAAAGTCCTCAGTTTTTGAACCTCGACCACGCGAATCTCCGCAGAGGGTCGCAATCCCGAGCGATGATCAAACTCCCGCCCCGGCGCCTTAGAAACCTAAACTAACTTACATAGCTGCTTACGCCGAAGCTCTACGCAAGCTCCACCTAACCTTGGCTCTGTGCCACCTGGCTCTGTGTCACTTGGCTCTGTGCCACTTGGCTCTATGTAACTTGGCTCTATGTAACTTAGCTCTATGTAACTTGGCTCTATGTAACTTGGCTCTATGTAACTTGGCTCTATGTAACATGGCTCTATGTAACTTGGCTCTATGTAACTTGGCTCTGTGCAACTTGGCTCTATGTAACTTGGCTCTGTGCAACTTGGCTCTGTGCAACTTGGCTCTGCGTAACTTGTCCAAGGGCTCCGCACGGAAGAACCCTTCGCGATGCTTTCGGGAATACACGTGTATAAACCTATGAACAAATATATGCATGCAAATGCACCGTGCATCACGCAAAGCTAGCCAAGACGAACAAAACATGACACTCCCGATCACCACCCCTCTGGTCAGGGGGCCCGCAATCGAGCGCCGACGCCTGGCTCAGCACTCGGCTGGCAAAGCTGGTCACCGCAGGCTTCCGACGCTCGCGCGCTGCGCCTTGCGCAGGGAAAAGAGCCAAAGGTGGCTGGCGATTTGGGCTCTGTTGTTTATTTACGTATATGTTGCGCATTCTTTTGTTTGGCTTGTTTGTGTTTCTTTGTTCGACTTCGCTTTTGTTTTGTCCTGCCTTTGGGTCTACTCGTTGCGAAAGTCAATAGAAAAGGTTGGCTAACGTAGAACGTAGATGTGTATGTATATATATATATGCTCCTCCCGAGCGGCGCCAGGTGTTGTTTACGACTGTGCCGGGGATACCACTGTGGGGGCCGGGCAAACATGGGGCCAGGAACATACATACACTTGTGTGTGGTCTAATACTTGCTCCAAACAAACTGCCTGTGAACGTCAAGTAATAGTTAACGCACACACACCGCAGGGTTCCTGAATGCCGGCCCATCAGAGCCACAAAGTTGGGTTGGCGCTGCTTGGCGAGCACCTGCGTTCCCACTTCTTGGGCCAAAGTTTCCCTGCGTCAACTGCTGCTCTGAAATGAAAAGGCTGGTAACCTGAACACGGGTGGGCCGGGGGCTGCAAGTTCCATCCGCGAAGCTACCTTTGAACACTGCGCCCTGCGCGCTGGCTCGCAGCTGTTTGACTGGCCGCCATTCTCGTGGTCATTGCAACCCCACGCCTTGACGGACATCATGAACCGTGAGTGTCTGCAGTAACAATTGGCAGGTACAAGAGACAGCTGAATCCAAGTACGAGGGAGGAGCTAGACGCTTACTTGGTTTCTGTCAAGAACCGTGGAATATTACTTGGTCAAAGCTGGAGCAGTTCATCGCGGCCCTTGAGTGCTTTGTCTTGCGAATCAAGGCTAGGGAAACATACCTTGCCTCTTTGTGCAGCACGGCAGCCATGTTGACTGGGCAAGCTGTTTTCAGGGAGCACATGTTCCCCTCAAACACGGCGCCTCATTGCTCTCAGGTCCTCGATGTATGTTAGCTCGGGCCGCCCCTCCGACAGCCGCACGGCACTTATCCTTGCCAGTAAGAACAGGTCTCCCAACATGTCTCAACCAGACGTGTCCGCCAAACCAAAGTTCCTTCAAAGCTGCCTTGTATGGTTGCGCCTTTGAAGCGCAAAGCTGCTTATCTTGATGATTTGACCACGCCCGGGGGGTTTGGTTCAATGCCACGCACGTCTGTCTTGGCGCTTCTTGAGCCTCTCCGCGATCTAAGCTTCTGACGTTTCCTGTTTCCTGGGCGTGCGCAGGCCTGCTCACCCAGGCCTTCGCGCTGGTCCTTCAAGCCTTAGCCTGGGACAAGAACAAGCCAATGACAACTATTCAGATGCGGCGTTTTGAAGGGGCGAAAGAAGGGCTTGAAAATGACGAGTCTCAGCCGGCCATGCGAGAGTTGCGGGGGTGCCATTCTTTCTTTTTATATCCGGTAAAGCCTGGGGAGCCCCAGACGAATGACAGAAACAATTTAAGGGGCGCATCCTCCAAAAGTCAAGGCATCTGTTTACAAGCTTGCGCTCCCGGGCGACACAGAAGCTTGGAAGAGAGGGAAGATGACACGGAGCGTCCACGCAGGACTGAAGCTGCGGCATCAAAAGACGGTCTTTGTTGACTGACGGTTGACACCCCCAGCATCACCAGTGTTTCAGTTCAATAAGCGCTCTTCGGCTTACTCAAGGTAGATGTTGCCGTGGTCCGTACCACCAGCCGCGGCCTTCAAGCTCGACAAAGCAGAGTCGCTCGACCTCATCAAAAATCATTTTTGGCGAGTTACAAAACTGCACTTTGCCAGGTCGACGTGAGTCGGTGTGCTTCGGAATGCTGGCAGGGCATAAGCGTGATGAACTAACCTGGTCGGGTCGTCATCTGCTTGTCTTACAGAGTAAGCCTGCGCGCCAAGCCTTGCCTGAACAGGAGCCTGGAAGAGGCGCTTTGATCAGTTTCCTCGCAAAGCAAAAGCTGAAACTTGCCTTGACTCAGAAATCAAGCAAAGAAAGAGATGAGACAGGATCCAGTCGAGGGTGGTTTTGACTGGCATGGACGAAGACTACAAGAGTGACAGCCACGAACAGAACAGAAGGATTCTGAAGCGAAGGAAAACGACGCGGTGCCCCCATGAGGGACTGCAGAGGCTAAGTACCTGTAGATAGATAGATAGATAAAGATAGAGATAGAGGTAGATATCGATATAATACACATATATATATATATATGTAAGTATGTATGTTTGTATATACATATACGGAAGGACCCTGGTTTGGTTGCTTGAGCTGTGTTTTGCGAGGGTTTTATGTCATTTTTTGCCTTGTTGATTTTGTGGCGTTTTTTGGGTGCCATATGCATATTTACATGAAGACATTCATATGGAATGTAAGCAAAGATATCAACACCTGCCATCTGACAGAGTCTGCATGCATCTCAGAGTATTGGGACAACGCTGGCTTTTCTTTTAACCAACATTCTGGGATTCAAGATTCAAGAATCTGCGAAAATTCTTTAATCTTGTGCCTTGAACCCCATATTTTTCTAAAATAATCCAGAGTTGTCCCAATACATACTTCGCAGCCAAGTATGCGCACCCATCTGCAGTCATATGCATTTAATCTGCAACCGACAAGGTTCGTATAAAAGCTTTCTGTGAAAAGTTTCAATCTTGAATCTTCAACCCAGTGGTGAAATACTTTCGAGGATTTAGAATAACTTAAGCGTTTTCTGCAGTTGGCCAGGATAGATGAGTCTCAGGCAAGTTGTTGTCTGTGCATTCTTCAATCCAGCGGTAAAGCACTTTCAATTGTTAGAAGAACTTGAATGTTGTTTGGGTTTGGCCAGGATTGACGGTTCTCAGGAAAGCTTTCTGAGTAATCTTCAATCTTGAATCTTACATCCAGAGGTAGAACGCTTTCAAGTGCTTAGCTATCCAGTCGAAACACTTTCAAGTTCCGAAATAGACAAACTTTCAAACAACTTTTGGTGAGCGGTTTGCTTCATGTAAGCTATGCTCATCTTGACCCTTTTCCAGGAGGTAAAGGTAGGTGTAATGCTGAAAACACAGTACCAAACAGCTTTTTATGAAGACGCGCAGGATCATGAGGGGTGCTATATGTTTGTATGTGTGTGTGTATATATATATATATCTATATATGTACCAGTCCCTGGGCCACGTACCCCCCCCCCCAATTATGTACCAGCCCCTGGGCCACGTACAGGTATGGTCCCCCCACTCCCCCGCATCATCTGCATCTTGGGGATGATGCTGGCAATGCTGGGGATGCTGTCCAGTACCGTGTGAGCCCTGCAGCTTCGGTCCCACCCCATGAACCAACACCCCAGCACCTCTCGCAACATCCTACCCTAAACCAAACCACCCTGCAACCCCTCCAAATCAACCCAAACCCCAAACCCACCCGAAACCCACCGCAAACCAACCCTGAACCAACCCTAAACCAACCCACCAAGCCTAAACCAACTCCGAACCACACCCCAACCACCCAAGCACCCAAGCACCCCACCACCCCACCCCACCCTTACAGGGGAACATATGAAAATATCTATATATATCTATCACGTTCACACACCGCCCACCCCCTGAACCACCCGTCCAGCTCTGTCCAGATAGGACTTTGAATACCATTGATTTAGCTAGAATCCTTGTTTCGAGACAGTTTTAGAATGTGACCCTCTCTTCCATTGAAGATTCCATTTTGGAACACCGCCTAACAAGTTTGATTTCGGACCTTTGTGCTACAAAAGGGCCATAATGTAAATAACACAAATCGCATTTTCCTTGTAGACGTCCCTTAAATGTTTAGCTACACTTGATATGAACTAAATTTGAGAAGTAGTCTCTGTTTGGTTGTTATTATGAAAAGCAAACTGAGTTGTGTTCATATTAGATTATATCTAACACCTAGATTATATTTTGGGAATAAACTCCTAACTTCTGTTGTTGAAGATTAGTTGGAGTTTGCCCGAAACCATACTTATATTCTCATGTCGCTCCTATTTGAGAGTTAGTTTCGTTTATTTTGTTTTTGTCAAACGCCAATTGAATTATTGACTGGAGTTTACCCGAAATTAGACTTACATTTTACTGTAACTCCTATTTGGAAAGGATTTGTGTATTTAAGTTATATTCCGGGGCCCAAAATTGGAAATCTCGCGAATTCAAATCTCTCAATTCTAGATTTATCATCACTAAAAGGCACCAAAACCAGGGTCCTACACAAACACTTGTTACACAGCGGGCGCCACGGGGCTACCAGAGTCCACACCCTCTTCAAACCCCTGTTTGGGGTTTCAAGGCTGGGGTTAGATGCTTGGAAGATGGGAAGACAGCATGACTGCATTGACTTGCAGCTTTAGAGTTGCCGTATTGCTTTGTGGACAACTGCAAATGCAGAAAGGTGCTTTCAACACCGCAGTATGCGTGAGGATGACAATGCATCAACGCTCAATCAGACCTACAAAACTTCTCTCTCTCTCCCTCTCTCTCTCTCTCTCTCGCTTTCTCCCTCTCTCTCTGTCTCTCGCTCTCTCTCTGTCTCTCTCTCTCTCTCTCTCTCTGTCCCTCTCTCTCTCTCTCTCTGTCTCTCTCTCTCTGTCCCTCTCTCTCTCTCTCTTTCTCTCTGTCGATCGACTGACAACATTGATTCTGAAGGGCAACACACGGTGCATTGTCACACACGTCGATCTAGAAGCGAGGGCTGACCGCCCAGGAAGCGCATCTGGAAATCATGCTCGCAACAATGCAATCAATCCGACTAACTTCTCCCGGGACTCATAGCCTACGTATGTACCATGAATCAATAGCCCTTGGAAGAAGGTGCCTGCGCAAAGAAGCAAAGATGTCAGGACCAGCGCGGCATAGTAGGAGTTCGACCACCAAGGCAGTGATGGAGCAGGGGCGGCAATCTTGATCAAAGGATCGTCTTCGCCATGGGGGGCAACATCCTAAGTTGGAAGTAATCCCTCGTGCGGCTGCAAGGCAATGAGAACAGAATGCAGCCCTTCTTCGGTTGGTCGTAATAGTGGCTGAGGCTGTTGGCTTGAAGGATGCCGCCTCTTTTTTCGGCAAGCAGGATTGAATCCCTTTTCAAAAAAACCGAACCAGAACATGAAAGAGCTGACAGACTCAATGAACGCACATCTGAATGTGGGCATCTGGCAACATGGCTTGGTAGGCTTTGCTGGCACTGGTCCAAGAGATTCATCGGCACATTTCGAATCGTGGCAATCTGCTGTGAATCTCCACAGCCCTGGAAAGACGCCCCACATAATCTTCCAAGTGCCCTTTAGCGGGGCGAGCGAGCCCTCACAAGCATCACGCGCAAACTGATCCAATTTGTTGGTCGGGTTTTGGTATTTTGTCAGGGGCTTGCCTTGACATTCCACCCAACAAACAAAACGCAGCTTACCATTTTGACACAAGGCGGGCTACGCGGCTACACACAACGCTGACACGTTCCTAAATAGTGCTTATCCAGCAGTCAAAAGTCATCATGCAAACATGTTTCAACCTGGATGTGTGAGCAACAAGAAACACACCTACATATCCCTACATATCCACATCCGGTCTTCTTAGCCCTGTCGCAAACCGGACACCCAACGGCCGAATTCTGCTGCCGGGCTGGGCGCAGTGGGCAGGTCCTCGCTTGCCGAAATCGGCGGCCGCGACAGCGACCAGGTCTTGGCCAACTTCCAGCAGCTGCCGTGGCAGCGGCTGGAGATGCTTTGGCCAGGTCCCTCCTGACAAGGACCCTTAAGCATGAAATGCCGGAAAGCGGTTTGGACCCAAAACATGGAAGCGTTTTGGCGTCATCTGAGGACTTGGAACATGAGTTTGCAAGATTGTGACCTCTGGAGGCGCTACTGGAAGATAGCGAAAAACTGCACCTGCACCAGCACCCCACACTGCATGCTCCTAGCCCTACCGTCAGTATCGCAAAAACGCGCCTGTGCCGTCCCAGCAACACCCCAAACAGCACCCCAAACAGCCCGGCCGCCAATCCCGCCAAAGTGCGCCCGCAGCGTCACCAGCAAACAGCACCCCAAAGCGGCACCCCAAACTGCATGCCCCCAGCACCCTGCCCATGAATCTCACAAAAATGCGCCCGCACCGTGACCAGCACCTCAAACAAGCAGCACCCCAAATAGCACCCGGCCGTCTCAAACAGCACCCACAGCAGCAGCTGCTCCAGCACCCCAAACTGCATGCCTCGTAGCACCCTGCTGTCAATCTAGCGAAAGATGCGCCCGCACCGCCAGCAGCACCCCAAAACAACAAATGCACCAGCACCCCGAACACCCGGGAATAGACCTGATGAGTGTCTGCCATCTTTGCGGAAAGGACGGCATGGGACCTTTCTGCACCACACCTTTGCACGGATCCAAATGCACTTTTCGATGCTTCTAGGAGGAACCTTTCCACCTTTGAATCAGCAGCATGCAGCAAAACATGTCCCCTGTACCCATGAGCCACATGAAGCGCTGTTCGTAGCACGTCCAGTATTTCGCCCAAAAACAAGAATCGGGCACGGCGAGTACGACATGCAGTGTAGAGACACATGAGCACGGCGCCGCCCTTCAAACTCTTTGGACCCCTAAGTTCACACTCAAATGCCAAATAAAATGGCTCATACAACCCATGTATCATAAATTCCTTTTGCTTGGTGTCACTTAGCAACTCTAGTACATATCAGTCATGATAACTTCCGTGCAAAACCAAGAGGGAGAGGTTACCTTTGCCATTTCTATTGCCATCAAACCCACCCTGGGCTCTGGCAGGTCATCCAGCCACCGCGGCAACGGAATGCCCTCAACCTCCGTGCTGAAGTATGCCTGCCGTCAAGATAAAACCACTCTTCTCCAAATTGTGGATTTCATGTTAGTTTCCTCTCAACATGAAACAGAAGGGGGAAGTCCCTGGTTAGATGCTGCCTTCCAAATTTGTACCCGCGTGTGTGGTCCTACCCGAGTCCTACGCTATTTTGCTGGCCACCTGCTTCTGGCATCGTGTTCAAGGCAAGTTTGTCACCCTCCCATCAAACCTGGAGATCATTTGCCGCAAAACATCTTTGTCATCCACAGGGCTGCGGCGCATGCCCGGTGCTTTCTTTAAGAAAGGGAGCTCACTAGACTTTGTCGGCAACACGCCGGCATGCCCAAGGGTCACGGGCAAAAGGCTCCTTGCTTCGATTCTGATTGTTGGGGGCATGTAGGGGAACAAACTAGAACACAGGACAAGAATGTGAGGGAAGAACCCGGGGTGTGATCACCCGAGCATGATTGATATTTGCCACTTGAGTTTGCTGTCCCGCGGTCATGCTCGCTGTTTACAGCCGTTTTTGCTTTGCAAACCGGCAATCAACAATGGCATGAATGCATGAAGCCCCAAAATTGGAGGATGACATCGGCATACCAGCAAAGCATCACACCTACTTGCTTCCAAATTGGTAATTTGGGAATAACATCGCTAAACGAGCAAAACAAATAAAATGGTTCCCAGAGTGACTCCGAGTCAATGGGCACCGCGGTAGAAAGAAAGGTCTCCAAACGGGTTGCTTCGCTTTAAGGTCTCTTCTTGACATAACTTATGCAGCAATTGTACTTGCATTTGGCATATGCAAAGGTGGTCCCTTCGTTGCACCTTCCTGTTACTCGCCATGAAGGGCGAGAAATGACGCCTGCAAACAAGGGAAGGGCTGGCAGCGATGCGGAAACCCAATGCCCGACAATCCTTCAGCAGTTGTTGGAAAAGCGTGCCTTCAGCGGCAAGAAGTAGTTGGACTCTCCGGAGATCAGAAAGGTGACCTCAGAGCTTAAGGTTCTATATACTTCTTCTTTACACAAACATCTGGCTATGAAAGGAAGCTCTCTCAAGCATAGGAATCCAAACGGTCATTAAACCATGCAAAAGGGGACATTTGTTCCCATCGAAGGCTTGCGAGCGCCTTTGCTGCCTTTGGTTCGTGGCCCAGTCGGGAGCCAGCGGCAACAAGCTTCATTGCTGGATGGTCATTTTCATTAAGCAACCAGCTGGACAAAGCTACGCACAATATGTTCGTGCGCAACATGTTCAAAACTGTTCAACCCATGCTTGTTCACACCACCGTCATGTTGGCAAAAGGCAATCCCAATGTAGACCCATTTGACGTTCAGATGATTAAGACCCCTTGATACGGCACTGACTCATGCGCAAAGGATTCTCCGGACCAAGAGAAACATTGCATGGACGGGCCACAGATTTGAGTCTTCAACGGGCTTCAGCAACCGCCCTTTGCCTTTCCACGGCCTCCTTGTGTAGTCGCCCGCACTTGGACAATCGGGCTCTTTTAGGAAACACATGCATTGCACATACCTGTCAAAACCTAGGACCCCCTCCACATGGTTGGCCTCCACTTGAAAAGAAAACTAGAGGACGATTGGCCCAAAAGCATTTTTCCAAAGGTGCTCATCCAGCCGCGGAGACACCTTTTTACATCACGCGGCGATGCTCAATGTGTATGGTCACATGAGAGCTCCATCTCATCGTCCTACGAGAGGAAACATGGCAGTGCTGGATCCCACATATTTACATCCGTTAAAACAAGAAGAGTAAAGCTCGTAAAGCTCCAAACAAATTACAAGCAAAGGGAAAAGCAATCAATAGCAAAGCTTACACGACGGCCACAGTTTCTGCAAAGCACGCTCGCGCAACTTAGCTCTGTGCAAGATGGCTCTGCGCAGCTTGGCTCTGTGAAAGTTGGCTCTACGCAAGCTACTTTTCGCGAGTGGCTCTGCGCAACTGGCTCTGTGCAAGTTGGCCCTGCACGAGTCTGCTCGGCGCAATGTGCTTTGCACGAACTGCGCCGCGCGATTTCTCACGCAAGTGGTCTGCGCGAGCTGCATTGTTCCAGGCTGCTGCGCGCAAGTTGCTCTCTGCAAGCTGCTGCACGCAAGTGCTCTGTGCAAGTTGCTCTGCGCAAGTGCTCTGAGCAAGTTGCTCTGCGCAAGTGCTCTGCGCCAGTTGCTCTGCGCAAGCGCTTTGCGCATGTGCTCTGTGCAAGTTGGTCTGTGCAAGTTGCTCTGCGCAAGTGCTTTGTGCAAGTGCTCTGCGCAAGTTGCTCTGCGCAAGTTGCTCTGCGCAAGTGGCTCTGCGCAAGTTGCTCTGCGCAAGTGCTGCCGGAGCTGTGGGAATTTACTTCGCGTACTATTTTTGTACTTAAAAGTTGCGATTTCCCAGCCGGAGCTGCGGGAGTGTGCTCCGCGTACTACGTTTGTACTTAAAAGTTGCGATTTTCCAGTGTGCTCCGCGTACTACGTTTGTACTTAAGAGTTGCGATTTTCCAGCCGGAGCTGCGGGAGCACGCTCCGCATACTACGTCTGTACTTAAAAGTTGCGATTTTCCAGCCGGAGCTGCAGGAGCACGCTCCGCGTACCACGTTTGTACTTAAAAGCTGCGAGTTTCAAGCCGGAGCTGCCGCGGACCAGGGGGGAATCGAACACGCGACTGTGGGATTGCGAAAGCAGGCGCGCAAAAACCACGAGACAACTTCCAAAGGCCACAGCAAGAGCGCTTCGACACGCACGATCTCCGCAGAGGGTTCATCCGGGAATGTCAATAACGCAAAAAACCTCGAAAAAGCGCAAAAAAACCTCGAGTTTTTGCACCTCGACCACGCCGAGGGTCGCGCGGGCATATCAAACTAGAGGACGATTGGCCCGAAAGCATTTTTCCACAGGCGCTCATCCAGGGAAACACCTTTTTACATCGCTGCGGCGAGCGTGTCTGCGCGCTGCGATGCTCAGTGTGTATGGTCACATGAGAGCTCCATCTCATCATCCTACTTTCCTCTCGAACTGCGCCGCGCGATTTCTCACGAAAGTGGTCTGCGCAAGCTGCATTGTTCCAGGCTGCTGCGCGCAAGTTGCTCTCTGCAAGCTGCTGCACGCTGCTGCACGCAAGTGCTCTGTGCAAGTTGCTCTGCGCAAGTGCTCTGAGCAAGTTGCTCTGCGCAAGTGCTCTGCGCCAGTTGCTCCGCGCAAGCGCTTTGCGCATGTGCTCTGTGCAAGTTGGTCTGTGCAAGTTGCTCTGTGCAAGTTGCTCTGCGCAAGTGCTTTGCGCATGTGCTCTGTGCAGGTTGCTCTGCGCAAGTGCTCTGAGCAAGTTGCTCTGCGCAAGTGCTGCCGGAGCTGTGGGAATGTACTTCGCGTACTATTTCTGTACTTAAAAGTTGCGATTTTCCAGCCGGAGCTGCGGGGGTGTGCTCCGCGTACTACGTTTGCACTTAAAAGTTGCGATTTTCCAGCCTGAGCTGCGGGAGCACGCTCCGCATACTACGTCTGTACGTAAAAAGTTGCGATTTTCCAGCCGGAGCTGCAGGAGTACGGTCCGCGTGCTACGTTGCGATTTTCAAGCCGGAGCTGCGGGGGTGTGCTCCGCGTACTACGTTTGTACTTAAGAGTTGCGATTTTCCAGCCCGAGCTGCGGGAGCACGCTCCGCATACTACGTCTGTACTTAAAAGTTGCGATTTTCCAGCCGGAGCTGCAGGAGCACGCTCCGCGTACTACGTTTGTACTTAAAAGCTGCGATTTTCAAGCCGGAGCTGCCGCGGACCAGGGGGGAATCGAACCCGCGACCGCGGGATTGCGAAAGCAGGCGCGCAAACCACGAGACAACTTCCAAAGGCCGTCTCGCGAGCAAGAAAATTGCACGGCGCCACAGCGAGAGCGCTTCGACACGCACAGTCTCCGCAGAGGGTTCGCCGAGACTAAGACAAATTCGCACGGCGCCACAGCGAGAGCGCTTCGACGCGCACGATCTCCGCAGAGGGTCGCGCGCTGACCGCAGAAATCGTTAAAAGTCCCCAGTTTTTGAACCTCGACCACGCGAATCTCCGCAGAGGTCGCGCGCGGACCGCAGAAATCGTTAAAAGTCCTCAGTTTTTGAACCTCGACCACGCGAATCTCCGGAGAGGGTCGCGCACCGCAGAAATCGTAAAAAAGTCCTCAGCTTTTGGACCTCGACCACGCGAACTCCGCAGAGGGTCGCGCGCGCGCCGCAGAAATCGTAAAAAGTCCTCAGTTTTTGAACCTCGACCACGCGAATCTCCGCAGAGGGTCGCGCGCACCGCAGAAATCGTAAAAAGTCCTCAGTTTTTTGACCCCGACCACGCGAATCTCTGCAGAGGGTCGCAATCCCGAGCGACGATCAAACTCCCGCCCCGGCGCCTTAGAAACCTAAACTAACTTACATAGCTGCTTACGCCGAAGCTCTACGCAAGCTCTACCTAACCTTGGCTCTGCGCCACCTGGCTCTGTGTCACTTGGCTCTGCGCCACTTGGCTCTATGTAACTTAGCTCTATGTAACTTGGCTCTATGTAACTTGGCTCTATGTAACTTGGCTCTATGTAACTTGGCCCAACAACTTGGCTCTATGTAACTTGGCTCTATGTAACTTGGCTCTATGTAACTTGGCTCTATGTAACTTGGCTCTATGTAACTTGGCTCTATGTAACTTGGCTCTATGTAACTTGGCTCTATGTTGGCTCTTGGCTCTATGTAACTTGGCTCTATGTAACTTGGCTCTATGTAACTTGGCTCTATGTAACTTGGCTCTCTTGGCTCTATGTAACTTGGCTCTATGTAACTTGGCTCTATGTAACTTGGCTCTATGTAACTTGGCTCTGTGCAACTTGGCTCTGTGCAACTTGGCTCTGTGCAACTTGGCTCTGCGTAACTTGTCCAAGGGCTCCGCACGGAAGAACCCTTCGCGATGCTTTCGGGAAAAACGTGACTAGAGGACGATTGGCCCGAAAGCATGTTTTCCCAGGTGCTCATCCAGCCGCGGAGACACCTTTTTACATCGCTGCGGCGAGCGTGTCTGCGCGCGGCGATGCTCAATGTGTATGGTCACATGAGAGCTCCATCTGAGAGGAAACATGGCAGTACTCGATCCCACATATTTACATCAGTTAAAACAAGAAGAGTAAAGCTCGTAAAGCTCGAAACGAATTACAAGCCAAAGGGAAAGCAATCAATAGCAAAGCTTACACGACGGCTCTGTGCAAGATGGCTCTGCGCAACTTGGCGCTGTGAAAGTTGCCTCTGCGCAAGCTACTTTTCGCGAGTGGCTCTGCGCAACTGGCTCTGTGGTTGGCTCTATGCGAGTCTGCTCAGCGCAATGTGCTTTGCGCGAGCTGCGCTGCGCGACGGCCACAGTTTCTGCAAAGCACGCTCGCGCAACTGAACTCTGTGCAAGATGGCTCTGCGCAGCTTGGCTCTGTGAAAGTTGGGTCTACGCAAGCTACTTTTTGCGAGTGGCTCTGCGCAACTGGCTCTGCGCAAGTTGGTTCTGCACGAGTCTGCTCGGCGCAACTTGCTTTGCACGAACTGCGCCGCGCGATTTCTCACGAAAGTGGTCTGCGCAAGCTGCATTGTTCCAGGCTGCTGCGCGCAAGTTGCTCTCTGCAAGCTGCTGCACGCACGTGCTCTGTGCAAGTTTCTCTGCGCAAGTGCTCCGAGCAAGTTGCTCTGCGCACGTGCTCTGCGCCAGTTGCTCCGTGCAAGCGCTTTGCGCATGTGCTCTGTGTGCAAGTGCTCTGTGCAAGTTGCTCTGCGAAAGTTGCTCTGCGCAAGTGGCTCTGCGCAAGTTGCTCTTTGCGCAAGTGCTGCCGGAGCTGTGGGAATTTACTTTGCGTACTATTTTTGTACTTAAAAGTTGCGATTTCCCAGCCGGAGCTGTGGGAGTGTGCTCCGCGTACTACGTTTGTACTTAAAAGTTGCGATTTTCCAGCCGGAGCAGCGGAGCACGCTCCGCATACTACGTCTGTACTTAAAAGTTGCGATTTTCCAGCCGGAGCTGCAGGAGCACGCTCCGCGTACTACGTTTGTACTTAGAAGCTGCGATTTTCAAGCCGGAGCTGCCGCGGACCAGCGGGGAATCGAACCCGCGACCGCGGATTGCGAAAGCAGGCGCAAACCACGAGACAACTTCCAAAGGCCGTCTCACGAGCAACAAAATCGCACGGCGCCACAGCGACAGCGCTTCGACACGCACGATCTCCGCAGAGGGTTCGCCGAGACTAAGAAGAATTCGCACGGCGCCTCAGCGAGAGCGCTTCGACACGCACAATCTCCGCAGAGGGTTCATCCGGGAATGTCAAAAACGCAAGAACCTCGACTTTTTGCACCTCGACCACGCCGATCCCCGCAGAGGGTCGCGCGGGAACCGCAAAAACAAAACGCAAAAAAAACCTCGAGTTTTTGCAATCCCCGCAGAGGGTCGCGCGGGCACCGCAAAAAACACCAAAACACCTCGAGTTTTTGCACCTCGACCACGCCGATCCCCGCAGAGGGTCGCGGGAATATCGCAAAACGCAAAAAACCTCGAGTTTTTGCACCTCGACCACGCCGATCTCCGCACAGGGTCGCGCGGGAATATCAAAAAACGCAAAAAACCTTGAGTTTTTGCAGCTCGACCACGCCGATCTCCTCAGAGGGTCGCATTCCCCCTCGTCGGCAACATCCCCACCCCCCGCCTTAAAAGAGATTCTTAATACCGAGCTCTTTCTCTTTCTTTCCCGCGCGTTAAGTACTTCTTAACCTAACTTACTTAACCTAGCTTACACAGCTGCTAACGCCGAGCCTCTACACCTAGCTTAGCTTAGCTGTATGCACCTTGCTCTATGCACTTGGCTCTATGCACCTGGCTCGATGCACTTCGCTCTTTGTTTGCACTTGGCTCTGTGCACTTGGCTCCTTGCACCTCGCTCTTTGCACTTTGCTCTGAGCACTTGGCTCTATGCGCTTGGCTCTGCGCAAGTAACTCTATGTTGGTGACTCCATGCTGGTGCCTCTGCGCAAGTATCTCCATGCTGGTGACTCTGTGCAAGTATCTCCATGCTGGCATCTCCATGCGGGTGACTCTGTGCAAGTATCTCCATGGTGGTAACTCTGTGCAAGCTACTCTGTGCTAGTAACTCTGCGCAAGTATCTCCATGCTGGTATCTCCATGCTGGTGACTCTGTGCAAGCTACCCTGCGCAAGTTGACCAAGAGCTCCTGATATCTCCATGCTGGTGACTCTGTGCAAGCTACTCTGCGCAAGTTGACCAAGAGCTCCTGATATCTCCATGCTGGTGACTCTGTGCAAGCTACTCTGCGCAAGTTGACCAAGAGCTCCTGATATCTCCATGCTGGTGACTCTGTGCAAGCTACTCTGCGCAAGTTGACCAAGAGCCCCGCACGGAAGAACCCTTCGCAATGCTTTCGGGAAAAAACCTCGAGTTTTCGCACCTCGACCACGCCGATCTCCGCAGAGGGTCGCATTCCCGATCGTCGGCAACATCCCCACCCCCCGCCTTAAAAGAGATTCTTAATACCGAGCTCTTTCTCTTTCTTTCCCGCGCGTTAAGTACTTAACCTAACTTACTTAACCTAGCTTACACAGCTGCTACCGCCGAGCCTCTAGCTTAGCTCTATGCACCTAGCTCTATGCACTTGGCTCTATGCACCTGGCTCGATCTCTGTGCACTTGGCTCCTTGCACCTCGCTCTTTGCACTTCGCTCTGAGCACTTGGCTCTATGCGCTTGGCTCTTTGCACTTGGCTCTGCGCAAGTAACTCTATGCTGGTGACTCCATGCTGGTGACTCTGTGCAGGTATCTCCATGCTGGTGACTGTGTGCAAGTATCTCCATGCTGGCATCTCCATGCTGGTTGACTCTGTGCAAGCTACTCTGCGCAAGTTGACCAAGAGCTCCTGATATCTCCATGCTGGTGACTCTGTGCAAGCTACTCTGCGCAAGTTGACCAAGAGCTCCGCACGGAAGAACCTTTCCTACAATGCCTACACAAAGAAAATCGCAAGGCAGACACAACTCCATCATTCGACAAGCGGCAAAGTTTGGGTGGCGGTTGTATGCCTCCAGCCGCTCGAGCAGTCTTGCATGAAAGCCTTCCGCCGTCAGTCGCTCCGGGAGCATGTTGGCCATGCAGACCGCATTGTAGAAGCGCACCCTCGGGCAGTTGCAACTTGCTTGCCCAGGAGAATAGGTCGAGAACAACACGTGCATAGTGCAGAATATATGTCCCATCCAAACTATGGGTCGGACCTTGACGTTCGCGCGCCATGCCAATTTCTTGTGCCTTCACTGCTTGAAAAGTGGCAGTTATATATGTCCTATGTTTGGCTAGGCATCCCTTCAACGCCGATTGACAAAACAACAACTTCGGATACACACCCACACACACACACCTCACTGAGTTGGGCAGTGCTCAAATGAACGCTTCTGAAGGAAAACACAACCTGGCGCCACACCCCTTGCAGCTCCCACTGGCCTGGGATCTAGCTGTGTGGTCCTGCTAGGCGTCCGGGGCCACCCTATGCTGGGGCAACCATGCGTCATCAATCTCACCGTCACAGCTCCGATTGTACCACACTAGTTGGGTTGGTCTGTGCTCTGACAACAAATCGCTTTGCCCTTCCATTTCCTCCTGACCGGGCCAATGTCCTAAGATGTGCGGCTATGTGTCAAAATTGGGTTTCCTTCCGCTCCATTCGTCGGCGGCTTCCTTTCCAATGTGATGCGAATGCACACAACACACACACACATCAAAGCACGCCTGAAGGCACGTTCAAAGTACCCCGTTCTTCTGCTGCAACTTGGTACTGCTTTGACACCACACACTTCCCTACTTTTGAGCTATGTCATCTTTGCTTTGAAATCTTGCGCGTTGATCTTACTCCATCGAGGGACTGCATCTTGTCGCCGGTGCTGGTGATGGCAGCCATGGTGACCCTCGGGAAGCTGGTAGCCACGTCCTCGAAGACCTCCTTGCGAAAAAGCCACGCGAACCTAGCCATCCATCACTGAGCCATGAGACACACACACACACACCCAAATGACACAGCCACCTTTTTTCACCACGACCAGACTGCACATGCGTATACAAATATGTATGTACATGTGTGAATATGCTTTAAATACATATTTTCACCTAACCATGTATGCATACATATGTGTATATATATATATATGCACACACGAAAGCAAACATATCGCTGCACACATATGCACACATACCCTGTCTCCGGTCTTCGTGCCCTCTCCCCCCCTTGAATCCTTCTCGGAATTCCCCGCTGAGGGCAGGCGCAGACACTCACAGAGCTTTGCAAAGGTACCCTTGCAGCCTTGCAACTTCATAAGTGGGGGCTTCGGTTTTCAGAGGGCCAATTGAATAACCCTGGCAACCTCGTTGCCTCGGTTTAAACAGAAATCGCAATCTGAAGCGGGAAGTCTCTGCAAGGGGCCAAATCCTCAGTGGTCTTACCTCAATGCACGCTGCAGGGCAAGCAAAGCACAAGAGTTCAGACGGAAGTCCTCCAATACATACAAATGCAAACATACACATACATGTACAAATATATACTGATGATCTATATAACTCACAAGTACGTGTAATCTTATCATGTTCACAAACATCTGACAACCCAAGATTCAGTTTTGCAAAGAAGACATGTCAATATCAGCTGGACCGATGCGGCAAGAAAGATCTTTATGTGGATCACTGGCTCAAGGAATTGAACCTATGAAATGGATGGCAAAGGCCTCATTCACAGGTTCATGATTATTCCCTTAAAGCTTAAGGGACTTTGCTCTTTGTAAAACCATCCCTTCGTGCTCATCTGAAAGCCAGCCAGTCTGCACCCTGGGCACGTCTGACGTGCCCGCTCCTCGATGCTCAGCTCCCGTGCCGTGCAGCGCTGCTGGAGGCGGGGCATCGACGAAAAGAGCCCCGTCTCGCAGGCGCCAAAGCCTCCAGGGTTCGCCGCCACCTTTTCCACTGTTTGGCCGAACGAGCGACCAGGTTTCTACACAAGGCAAAGTTGACGGAAGATGCGAAAGCGTTGCAAAGCCCAGCAAGCAGCACACAGATAGCCCAGGTGCTATTCAGCTTGAAGCCAATCAACAGCTTGATGCAGGGGTTCCTTCCGTTCGCATTTGCTACTTGGGCACTCCTCTAGAGAGAAGCCGAGCACAGCCTGCCTGCGAATCTGCCTAGACTCGAATGCACCCCAAGCGAAGGAACCCACTCAAATTGTTTGTTTTTTCTCAAGCTTAGACCTATTCTCACCCCCTTGCGCTTCAAGGGGGTGGGGGTCTGTATGCGCGCGTCGCACAGGTCATGGTTCAGGGAATTCCGGGGGCCTTGTGCCCAATGGTCTCCCCGCAGAAGGAGGGAACCTGTGGACAGCATTTCCCTTCTGCCAGAAGGGACAAATGGATGGCTACCCTTGATGCCAATGATCGAGTTCAATTGGATCAATCAAGAGCTCGGAATTGCAAGGCGCTCCTGAACAAGAACATTTGGGCGTCTCTAAGGCAGTGTCCACCCCTGCTGTGATGCGCCGAATAGTTGTCACATCCCTTCACACTGACTTTTGATGCGCTTTGACATACACTCGATCCCAGCCTGTCAAAAGTGGGCCTTCGGCATGACGGGGGAAAATGCCCAGGTCTGAGTCAATGAGCAAAGATGCTGCATCGAAGCCTGAGTGAGTTTGATGCTCCCTGAGAGGAAGAACACCTTTTTCTGCACTCCGCACACCAAAGTGCCCTGACCCGCCTTTCAAAGAACGCCTCCTTCGGGTTCCCTGACAGTTTACTGGGGAGCAAGCAGCCATTCCAACATATACAATGGCAAAACATGATGCTTCCTCAGTGCCTCAACAACAAGGGTGTCGTCAAAGCTGACTTCTGAAAGCGATGAACTATTTCGGTTGACAATCACTACATCTAGCCAAAATCGGGATCCCTCAGAAACAATCACGTTTATCTTGGTTCTGGCCCCCTGATAAAGCTGCAGCCCGTCGCTCTTTTTGGGGTCTACTCAGTCTACTCAGAAGCGATGGCCAACACATCCAACATCCAAGCTAACCAATACACAAGCAAAGACGTGAAGGATTGAACTTCTGCCGCAATAGCTGCGTTGCTGCTCTCGACAAGGTCACATTCTTCGTCTCAACCCAGCGACAAACTCGCACACGCAAAACCAACTGAGTCTAAACACATCATCTCCAACGTCATTGCGAGCAAGCACAGCATCGACCGGGTTGGGCAACAAAAGCTGTCCAATCCAAGACACGCATGTCCAGCGTGAGTGGCTCCCGAACAAGAAACAACGGAAAAACACGTGCTGCCAGAACCTGTCGCAAAGAAAGCGATACAATCACGCAACAAGTGGGGAATACATGATCCACATCGCACAGCCCAACTGACATGATCACTATGCCCATGTCATTCAACAAAGCCTTTGCAGGAACAACCCACAAATCGACAGCTGGAACATCATCAAACACTGACAAGTAGCCACAACGGGAACATCAAAAGCACGCGCGTAGACACAAACACACTCACACACAAATGGAACATCTGTCCACGCAAAACATGGGACAGATTCTTCATTTCAGATCTCCCCCTGAGCTTTTCAATTGAGGAGCCTCCAAATTCATCAAACCTTTTTCGCACATACAGGCGCACGTAAGACCTCTGGCCTGAAGAAGTGAGCGCCCCTTCACCAAAACCTGAAGATGGAAGGGAGTCCCTCTGAGCACCTGGCGGGCGGCGTCCCTGCGCGTTCTCTTCTCTAACTCAGCAAGCTGATTTGAGGAATCCACAAGCAAGAGGCCTTCATGATGGGTGAGCCCATTTTTCCATGTTTGGCTCAAGGGGCAAACCAGGAAGACATCGTGCCGTATCCCAGAAGTGGAGGCTTCCCTGCGGTGCAAGGGGCTGAGGCTGCGCAGAAGCGCGGGTGCCCAGAGTTGCGCACCCAAGGCGCCGGTGGAGGAACCCGCCACCACCAGGGCACTCAGGCGGCCCAGGTGGCTCCTGGCAAGCGTCCATTTGGATTTGGTGGTAGTGGGTGGTGCTGATGGTGGCGGTGGTGGGCATTGGGTTATGTTATTCGATATGTAAGTTACGTAGATAAATCATCACATAGACTCTATCGTACACCCCCGAACCAAAAATCACTTAGCTCTTTCAAAGCTATTTACAGTAGTTGCTATTTTCCAGCGAGTTTTCGGTCTCAATCAAATTGTATGCGCTTTCCTCCGGCCGAAGAAATTTCCAATTGGTTTCTGACACACACAAATGGGCCAGCGGCGCAAGTGCAACTGAGAAAGCAACTAACTTGGAGATACTTGCACGTTAGACAGAATATAGGAAACCAATGCAACTGCCACACCCGGGGTCCCCTCACAATCAAGCAGGCGCAAGGGATCGCGGACTTTTCACATTTCTGCTGAAGGTCGACAATCAACCAAGATGTGATTTTCAAAGCGTCGTGGGGATTGGTACCATCAGTAGAACCAATGGTTGCAAAGCTGGCGTCCTGTTGGCGTCTTGTGCAAATCAAAGAGTGCTTTGTGCACGGCACGGGGAGGCCGCCGCAAAGCTAACCTGGGGCAACTGCTGAATCAGAACAGCGCAAACGTGGGGTGGTTTCCGGGCAATCCCTCCGTCCACCCAACATGTTGCGCAACCTGCCTTGGGCCGCTACAATGGGGTGGAAGGCATTACTTCCTTAGTTGTTGTTTTAAGAATCAGACATTCACCGTATCATACTGGCTAAATGTCATGTTGGACTATTAGAGCCTGAGGGTATCATGAGGACGTGTTTTGAACTCAGCTGCGAAACACCGATGCGCACGATTTACTTAGATGCAAATGCCGATGCTCGTTTAAATGCCGCATACTGGTCTAGGGCCATACTGGACTGCGAGAGCCTAAGGGGATCACCACCGGGGTTTGAGCTGAATGTGCATGAGTCCTTATTCTGTACATACTGCGGATACCGCAATCTACTTTTCATGGAGGCTATTGACTGGGACAAGTTGTGGCGTGTATCAATTTGGTTGCGCAGCTGTTGGTCTGTCTTGGATTTCACTGCAACACTCAAGTGGCCGTAAAGTCGTAGCACCTTGGCCATACTTGAGTACTGGGATCAGGACGGGCTGAAGGCTTTCTCAGAGCAACATGGAATTATTGTATATATATATACATATTAATATGTATTCATAGTAGAGTTGTACATCGCTAGCTGTCTACTGTGATTTGAGGGCTTCTCAAGCATAATAAACCGCACATATAGCCAGCTTGTGAACACTCAGCTAGATTCATATACTTGCTATGCTGACTTAGCAACCTATGCCAGCAATGTGTTTTATGATAAGAACTGGTGAGCTGCAGCAAGGGTGCAAAAGAATCATTTGCTTGTATGCATGCACATGTGTACTAGTGTATCAGCGATGCAACAATGGTATACTTTTGCGATAGTCATGAACCGTTTGGGCATTTTAGCAGGTGGAAACCTTCTAAAACAAATCACAGCGTGCTGTCATAATCCTGGATTCCCTGAACGTTTTCTGATTTGCAATTGCAATGCTCATTGGGCTCACTTGCCTTCATCTTCTGAACGCATACCAAGTACATGTATGTGTCGTGTGTATTCCATGTCAGACCTCACTCGACAAATTCTGTGGCAGGGGGCAAACAATGCACATTACTTTTGAGCCAACAACCAGCAAAGACGCAAATAGCAACATCCACTCCAAATGCCAGCGACACAGAACGTGTGTTTTGGAAAAGCCTGACTTCTCCCAAGCCAGGCAACACCATGGCCAGTCCTTGTCCACTTCAAGGCAGAGAGCGCGTTAGCGTAGCCCCGCTGCTCAACCCTTTGGCCAGCTTTGTCCAAATACCATCGAGCCACATTGCCTCGAGCGCAGATCGGTTGAGCTGATTCTATCATGCCCTGACGCTGGCTTCCTAACATGTTCACTGTGCACCCTGATAGGCATGCCGACATGCCGACATGCCGGCTACTCGGCACGTGTCAGAGTCGAGGGCGGTTGATGAGAAACCAGCCGCTGCTCTGGTGGATTGCAGGTCCACGGGACTTGCGGCCAGGGTTTGCCTTTTGTCCATCTCACTTGTGAGAAGAAGAGCCCCCCTTCAAAGGAGGTTCTAAGTTCCCACAACCCAGAATCAAACTGTACTGTGAAAGTTTCGGACGCCCTGACCCTTTTCTGGGCAAACAAGACGCCGACACCGACAAGATCATTTTCATCAACTGCCAGACACAAGCCCTCGGCCAACATCAATTATGCCGAGATGCCCACATGCAAATCGCCACTGCAATAATTGATATGAACCTTGGACATTGTGCAATCTTGAACCCGTCCGATAGAAGAGGGAGTGCCAAGATCCCTATGCCAGGTATTCATACTCCACACAATGGCTTGTTAAACTGTGGATTTAGACTGCCAAGGAGTGCCTCGCGCCCCTGACCAAACGACTTCTTCAGCTTCTAAGGTCGATAAAGCAAGAAAATAATCAGTTAGTTAATTGGCCGATTCCTAGCACTTAGACATGGCGCCGTGCCCAAAAAATAGGGACCCTTCATGCTTGGCTGGGTCCAATTGGGTTTGACACACCTGCTTGGATTGCCTCCGTTTCATGCCAGGACAGTGCAAGCGATTAGCTTGTCAGGGTCCAAAATGAGAACAGTTCTGTAGATGTTTCCAAGAAATCCTAAAGGACGGCAAAATTGGGTGTGTCCTAGTTTGACACATTGTCCATCACGTGTGGGGGGTCACTGGGGCAGTACACCACACTTGTACCTTGCAGGAGCATGGGAGTTCCCTAAACTGGATACCCTGCAAAAACAAAACCACAGCCAAAGTGACATCCTTTGCCCCTGTCAGTTGATCAGCACCTCCCGGCCCTACCTCCGCCTCTTGCCCGCCTGCTACCGGGACTGCATCTATATCAGTTTCGAAACCTCCAGGAACCGCATCAGGGACGAAGGAGATTCATTCATGCCCATTTCCTGTTGAAAAGCACCGGTCCAGCTTGAAACGCATTAGCACCCAATGACGCGATCAGTCTGCAGGGTGCTCAAGCGAGGCCTTAGCGCATGAATCTCTGGCAGAGAGCAAGTTTGCCTTAATCTTGGCTCCCAAACTTGCCCAAGAACACGAGAACACTTCAAACTTTCAATTGCTCACCAGCTCAAACTCTGCATGTTCCTGCCCAAGACTTCGGTGATTCTCCAAAGCCCCTGCCTGCCCACCGCTGGGGAAGGGGGGGGAGGTTGGGACCAGTCGTCCATAAACACATTAACAACAGCAGCAGCCTCAAGATGACAAAAAAGACGAAAGAAGATCAAGGCAAATAAGCGAAACAGAAGATGGTTCACCATAAGACAAATAATACATAAGACGCAGCATCATATAGGTTGAACTAATCTAGCAAGAATAACACGGGCGGAGATGACAGTCATAATACTGTAATACACATATGACACATGATGAACAATGATACCAATAATGCACATAAAAATAGTAAGACGATGACGGAAAACACATAACAATGATAAGACACAAAATGAACAATGATAATATCATGTATAATAATAATAATAATAATAATAATCATAATAATAATAATAATAATAATAATAATAATAAGAAAACAACAGGAGAAGAAAGAGAAGAAGAAGAAGAAGCAGAAGAAGAAGAAACAGAAGCAGACACAAAGCACAGGAAGAGAAGAACCAACACCATATGCAAAGAACGCAATTTTAATGATTAGAAGGAACATGAAAAGAACAAGAAACCATTGAGAAGGACGAGGAACAGGAAAAAACAAAAACGGAAGAGAAGCACTGAGAGCAGAAGGAGAAGAATAAATTTCAAAAAAGGAAAAGAAGAAGAGACGCGAGAAGAAGACCAAGTGAAAGCCACATCATGACAATGCCCATGATGAGACAAAATAATAAGAAGATTGTGGAGACGCGTAATCATAATAAGACAATCAAAAAGAACACAAGGAACGACACATCGGTAAGCAAAGCAATACCATAACAACACATATGCACAACCAGCAACGTCTGCTGTGTCACAGCTGCCGTCACCATTTGTGCGCAATCCACCCTGTTCAATGAATTTGCCGAGGAGCAACGGTGTAGTCCCGAAATGGATTCGTTAAGCTTTCCTGACTTGCTGAGTTGTCCAGGCGCAAAAACCAAACCACTCAAATGCCACAAAATGTTTACACGCAAACAAGACACAGCCAACATGGTGTACGTTGAGCCCCAACAAACTATACAAAGCGAAAGATGACGAAAGGACAAAGGGAAAACACACAGATATTAACTTACCAGGGAACTCAGTCTTAGAAGTTTTTCGGGAGACACCTGGAAGGAGGTTGGGAAGTGTTCAGCAGGAAATGCCTGAACATGCCCTTGTTGGTTGGGGGCGGGTGCCAACTTGCGTGCGCAGATTGCCCCCTTTGGGCCTGTTTGAGATACTTTGTTAACTCGTTTGATTGTAGAAGTGCTGTCCTTCTCCCCCCATCCTCCCTCCCTCTCTCCTCCCTCCTACGATAAAACAAATAATCATACTTACAAAAAACAGGACAACTCAATCTGAATGGGGTCGACTTAACAAAGACTTGCTCCTGAACACTCCCTAACCGTGCCCCAACCTCTTCTATAGGTCTCCCAAACTTCTTAGTCAGGATTCTTGACAAAGTCAGTATAAGAAGCTTGCACGAGACCTGCGAGCTCAAGAAAGCAACTCACATTTGCCTATTCAGCAGGTGAGTCTCCCGATCGAAGACGCCCACCAAGGGCTGCTGCACTACCCGCGTGAGGCAAGGAGTGGCCTCGATTTGGTTGGCCACAGCTATGGCCAAAATGTCAAAGGAACATGGTTCAGCATATTGCAATGTATCTCCCTTCAAGCGTGGCATGTCATAGCTTTATGCCTTTTGCCGTCGCTTGAGTTCGCGATTTTTGATAGAAGCCCCACGGGATTCCAACTGTCAAACTTGGCCATCCCTTGCAAGGTAGACAATCACTTCCGAACGCTAGAAAAATCACTTCTCTGCCACTTTCGATCACTTCCGAACTCTCCAAAATATCACTTCAGAACACTGAGCACTCAAAACGCCGACAGGGTTGCACAACCAGGTCATGTAAAAATGATCACTTCCGAACGCAGGCGTCCACGAACGCAGGCAGGCATCCCAGTCAAGGTGTGCAAAATCTACTAGTTTTGGGGTGGGTGGGTGGGTGGTGGGGATGGTAAGCACACCCGCTCAAGTGAACCAGCCCAGCCTGCTCTGTAACCAAATGTGCAAATTTGGTGGGGTGGGGTGGGGTGGGGCGGGGGATAATAAGCACACCCGCTGAACTGCTTCATCCCAGCCGGGGGGGATGATAAGCACACCCGCTCAACTGAACCAGCCCGCTCTGTAACTGCAAATTCATCTGGTTTGGGGGTGGGGGGTGGGGTGAGGCCCACTGCCCCAGGTGCCTATCCCAGAAGGGAACTGGTACCCTGTGGTAGTAGAGGTCGTTGTTTTGGTCCCTGGATCTATTCCGGAGAGAATCCAATATGCCACTGTGGATGATTGGAGGATGGATTGTTCCTGGTGGATTGTCTTGTGGATAATCCTGTAAGCGGCCTGCTAAGGTTCTTTTGCTTCACGCGATCATGAATGATGCAATGTTACACAAAAGGGGCCTTGAGCCAAATGTTGCAGGAGATCAAGTGTTCAGTAAACCAAACACAAAACAGACACAAATTTCTTTTGATCTCCAGCACTAAGTATGAAATACTATTGGCTTCATGGCCTTTGGCCGTAGCCTTGATGTATGCCGTAGCCATGCTGTATGCCGTAGCCACGTGTATTAAAAATGCCGGATTCATCCTCTTTTCTGCTCGGATGAAATGTCTTGGCTTTCGAAATGGAAAACACTATGTACTGCTTCTTTTTGAGATACCTAGATGTATCAAAGGGTGATGTACAACGCTATGTACACGCGGGACGATTGTGAAGCTATTGATCTCTCACTCATTGTATAGTCTTGTAGACGGCGAGGATCAATCATCTGAATTGAGTTCGTGGTGCTGAACGTATGAATCTTCATGGTCAGTCGGATCGACGATACCATCGGCGGCTGCTGTCGGATTGACTGCCATAGTCTCCATAATCATTCCAGGTCGAGTTGCTATAGTCCTTCCACTGTTTCTGATGTCCCCACTGCTTGTTGTAGTCCTTGTACTCCTGCGGGGTCCAGGCTTGTTTCTTCTTGATGTACTCCTGGTATCTCTCAGAGTTGCGTTGCCTGGTTGCAGATTTGCTGCGGATGTAAACCATGAGGGGACTGTGAGAGTCGGAGTCCTGCGAGCCATTCATGAACATGTCATTGTTCACGTGCGTAAAGCGCTCTGCGGATGAGACCTGGTAATTGAATATGGCCTTGGTTGGATGGTTCCGCATGAATTCCAGTTGTTCATCATCCATGCCGTTCATCTCGTCCTTCCGGAAAGCCTGCTGGATGTTCGTTTTGCCCCATCCAAATACGAAAGTCATCATCACATCTGGGAATGTTCGATCATATCCTGATCCACACTTCATGTGCAGGTGATGACGGACAATGGATTTTAGGGTGCACGAGGTCTCCATCGCATACTCCATTCTGTTCACGAGTGGCAAATCTTTCGTTTCATTCCACAGTCTCTGATATGCTCTCATGAGGATGTTCACGAGACCGTTGGCCGGATTGAAGACGTGCTGGTGATTTGTTGGCGTCTCCGGTGATCGCATCGCATCGGTACAAAGTCACGAGCGGCATGATTTCATTCTGAAAATCTTCCCTTGCTGCTCCATGGCTGGTTGAAGGATGGATGTGGAAAACTCCAATGGTAGCGAATGGGAGATCTGCCCTCGTTATGTGGCGGTCGTCATACTCGTGGAGTGACTTGTTGGATGATTTCGGGATCATGCCACGAAACTCATCACTCTGCTCGATGTGGAGAACGACGATCTCCTTGTCTCGGCCATGTCCTTGGACAATGGTGCGTGCTGGCAATCTCGGTCCAATGTACTTCTTGGATTCAGTAAACATGGATGGTCCTGTGGTTGCCAAGCAATCCGAGGTCGGAATTTCGTATTCGGGATCAGTGCAACTTCCTTCGGTTCCGAAGAAACATCTGAACATTCCGAATGTGGTTCCCCAATTCTGGCTCTTGGTGGAAATGTGTCTTGCCAGAAGTTCCACTCTTGCACAAGGTCCGCCACGGACAAAGCATGCGATCGGTCTGGATGACCATTGCTTGATCACGATGCCCTTGTACCCGAATCGGATGAACGTCTTGATGAGCTCCCTGGATTTCTCATCATTAGGACAGAAGAATGCGTCTGCTTCATTCAGGCATAAGATGTGTGCACTGTTCTGCATCATCATCTTCACGATCGGTCGATTCTTCATCGGCATGTTGTACACCTCCCTGTTGTCCAGCTTTGGATTCCTCGTGCGGTTTCCATGGTTCAGGGTAGCATGTTGATCGCTATGGATGAGGTGAACTCATGCATCTTGAGATAGTCCACAGGAGGACGGTCGGTCGGTTGCATCAGCGTTCCCAGGATATCGGCATAGGCTCGGATGATTTCCGGGTCATCATGTGACCTAAGCTTCTTCAATCCAAGTGGAAGCTTAATCGGATATCCGGATCCTGGTTGAGCTTGCTTGTACTCGTCCATGGTGGGACATTCTCTTCGATGAGGGAAGTAGAATTCTTCTTCTCCGAGATTGACATCGGGATCGACATGCGCCAATGAGGCTCTCTCGCACTCTGTCAAGTTGGGATGAGCTCTTCTTGGATCTTTGTTGTACTTGTTCATGAAGCGGAGAAGGTTTTCCCTGGTCTCCGCGAGCTCTTCCTCTGCGTCCTTTTTGTTCCTATCTATTTCGAGATAGGTTTCCTTGAGTTCTTGGATGAACTCTTCTAGGATCTCTGAACTGCGATATTCCACGATGACCTTGGGCTTGAGGGATCTTTCCCCGGAGGGTTCCATCGTCTCTTCTTCAGCTTCGTCCTGATCGGTGGAATGCCGTCTCTTCTTGGTCTCTGAGGAAGTATCTTTTTCCTTGCTGTGCTTTGTGGAATTCACATAATTGAAGAAAGCATCGGCAAATTCGCGGATCTTGGTGTCGTACATCTCGTAATCTTCATGATCGAGATGCTTCTTCATGATCCACTTGTTGCTCGCCATGAGGCTGCCATCAGGGTCAAATGCTGCAACAATGTTTCTTGCCTCGATGGTTTTGTCTGTCAACGCTGTTCGCTCTTCGGAGAGTCGGATCCCATAGTCTTGGTCCTTGAGAAATGCAAGGATCAACAGTGCATCTCTTCCTGCTGGCACATGGGTCAATGCAGCTTCTGACTCATCGTCGTCAAGGATGACGTCATCGATGCATGCCATGTGGACGTGCATTCTTCCCGAAGGGTTTGACTGGGATTTCCCATAATTTGAGCCCGTGCTCCATGATGCTGAAGAGCTGATTTCCATAGGTTGCATGGAACATGAATGTGATGGGCTTCTTCGCGAACGGCTTGATTTTCTCTCTTCTTCAATGGATGGTGGTGCCGGCCTTCGCATTCTATGCTTGGGCTGAGCTGTGCTTTCATCTTCATGAGGCGCCTCGGATCTTGACGGATGCGGACTTGGCGGAATGGATTCCGTTGGGAGATCATAGTCCGGTTCGTCGTGTTGAGGCTCTTTCTGCTGCTCAGAGTACAGGGGTCGTCCAAAGGATTGGATCTCGACTTGTCGTGTGTGTCCGCTGTTGCATCTCACATAGAACTCCATCTCTGGATCGACATAGAATTCCTTGCCATCGGGCCTGAGTGCATTTTGTGCGGATCTTGTGGTGAGCTTGTCGATCCATCGATTCCTTGGAACAATTTCTCCCCGTGCCTTGCGCTCATTATATGACCCGTCCACGGATGGAAATACGAATGCGATTTCGAAACGTGATTTTCCATAGCTCGGAAACATAGCCATCAAGAGAAGCCCTGGCTTATTTCCAATGAAGTTCCTGGCATGTGTGATGCAGGTCAATGCGTCATAGAGCTCGACGGATCCATCAGGACCCATGTCCACTTGTCGTCTGCATTCCTTATGGATTCCATGCCTTGGATCATGTCGAAGACATCCGGAAAATGATCTGCTATGAGATCTGTGATCTGTTTCGCCTTGGATGGATCCATGCGGAAGTATTTGCAAACCTGTTCGACATTCTGGACGGTCTTCTCGAGATCAATGTTGCCGTTGTGGCATACCATCGGGATGACGTCGGTTCCGTAAACTTCACCTTCTTGATGAAGTCCATGTATTGCTTCTCCGTATGAGTTCCTTCACCTTGGAGTGTTGGCTGCCAGTAATCGTTGAATCTGGCCTTCAACCAGAACACCTTGACTCCATGTGGTCTCTCATGCTCAGGAACGAAATGGAAGTCCGGATTGACATCGAGGGTGGTTGAGCATTCCTTGTAGTACTCGTACACAAAATTCAGGAATTTTGAGTTTCCGAAAGGTTCTGGGTGTACGGATTTCTTCTGGAGGCTGATGTTTGTATCCGATCCATGTGTTACAAACCACCTATCATTGGATTTGAGAACAGGCCGCATCGCTGGTCGCCTTGGAAGTGCAGGTCGATCGCCAGGATGATTGTCGGATTCCGTCTCTTTATCCAAGATGTTCTTTGGTGCTGGCTTGACCTTGGAGACAAGCCTCAATGCTGGTGGCGGTGACTTTGGAACAAGTTTCGGATGCGGCATCGCCTTTGACGTAGGCCTTCCTGCGGGAGGATGC